CTTGGTGTGGGGAGCTGGCGTTGAAACCGCCTTACTATTCTATCGTGCCTATATCAGGTCCATATTGGATTATGGATGTATCTTGTACGGCTCTGCTAGTTCACGGATTTTAAACAAAATAGATATCTTGCAGAACTCAGTCCTACGTGTATGTCTTGGTGCCATGAAAACAACCCCAGTCGAACCTCTTCATGTAGAAGCTATTGAGTCTCATTTAAATCACAGGAGGCAGTTCCCTGGCAGACAAATTTCTTTTTAAAATATCCAGAACCAACAGTAATCTATATTCAAATATAGTAGTATTAAATGAACAAGATTTGACAAATAAATATTGGTCGAAGAAAAATTCTCCACTACTGTGTATCGCACTTCAATCTAATCAAGATATCATTAGTGATTTATATGATCCCAGCTCAATTTTGTTAGATCTTTATGATTACAATGCATTGTTTCTAAATATAAAGATTGTAAAACCTGCATATAGCGAAAATCTTCACATTAACATTAAACTTATTATACTCAATACTTGCAAGCTTCGAGGAATCTGTGACATATATATACCGATGCTTCAAAGTCCAAGGATGGTGTGGGATGTGCTTTTTATATTCCCTCCAAAAATATTAATTATTCCTACAAACTGGATAACATATTTTCTATATTTAGTGCTGAAGCTATTGCAATCTACGAAGCGTTGACTTTTTTATCACAATCTACAATTGATTCTGCAGTAATTATATCGGACTCCTTGTCTGTTTTAAATTCCTTGGTTTTGGCAAAATACCCAAGTTACAGCTCCAATTATATCATATATGCAATTATAAAAACGGATTTTAGAACTGCAAAAAGTTAACAAACACATTAATTTTGTATGGATTAAAGCACATATCGGTCTCGAACATAACGAGTATGTGGATATGCTGGCAAAGAAAAGTGTAAAAAATGGTTTGACCAATCAACTACCTGTAAGTTTTTGTGATGCAGTAGCTTATATTAGAATGAATTATCTTAATATTTGGAACAAATGTTGGTCACAATATACTTATACCAACCCTTCTAGATACTGCAGTATACAAAATCAAATACCGAATAAAACGTGGTTCCAACAATATAATTATTCCAGAAAATATATCACAACGATAACACGTCTTAGATTTGGTCACGCCTGTTATCCCACACATCTCCATAAAAATTCATGTTCTTGAAAATGATCTTTGTCAAAATTGTGGCAAAAAGGTGATTTAGATCATATTTTTTTCGAATGCCAAAAATTATAAGGATGAAACAGATCAATTTATTCAACAATTACATGATCTCAATGTACAGGCTCCGTTTAATATCCTTAGTCTCTTAGCTAATGGAAATGAGAGAATTTATAATGCATTAGTAAAATTTCTGTCAGGTACCAAAATAGTCTTTTAGTGACAACTATAAAAAAATATATGCATATACAAACTTGTGGTGAACAACTTGGACAGTCCATAGCAAAGCAGCTGTCGAATTGAGTAGATAGCTGCTCAAGAGTTTGCTATGGAACTCTGAGAACCTCATCATCTTGTTTATATGTAAATATAGATAAAAGTGAGATAATACAAAAAAAAAATTAGTATTTTGAATTATATTATGTGTACCATTTTTTGAACACACTGATGATGTTAAAAAGATGCTATATATTTAACTTTTATCCTATTTTATTTTTAGCTCTTAAAGTATATTATTCAGCTCTTCGTTATTGATATTTTATGGATCTTACGGTAATAAAATTCTTATGTTTAAGGTAGTAGTCATGTTGTAACTGGCTGATTGACACCTAGTCTATGCCAATAAAAAAAAAAAAAAAAAAAAAAAAAAAAAAAAAAAAAAAAAAAAAAAAAAAAAAACTTGGAATACTTACTACAATAATTAATTTCAGATTATAATGTAGCATTGTCTGTTATCAATGTATTTTTTTTTTTTCGGAACCAGTAAAAAACACTATTTTGTTTTATTCCCAGTGGCGTTCCTCAGTTTATTTTAATTTACTGAATCAATATTTATTGTAACTCCATATTACTTAACCAAGTTCATAATTTTGGTGACCCCTGTAGAATACATATTCAAATGATTATATCGCTGCAAAGGTGATAAGGAGACCTTTCAAATGAGCCGTCGCGTGACGTAGGTTTGTATTCAAAAAAATCGTCGATGACGTCATTACGCCGACACTGATGTCGTAATGTCCAACACGTATATAGCAGTTGATGGCCATTCAAAAATTAAAATTGACGTGTTTTAAGATTTTTTTCTTAAAGTCGTCTGTTTATGAAATAATCAATTTATTCCATATATTTGCATCCATGGACGTTTATACGTTCATGTTTGCATCATACTGTATATAACATTGTATAACGTATGCGTGTCTCTTATGAAAACACATTCGTTACAACAAGCGGAAACTTGCACGCTAAGCATAATAATATTAACAATGATTGCCCCAATAACGAGGCGATTCATCACAGATTGATATAATATAAAAGGAGGGATCGAGGTCAATAATATTATTAGATCAGTAGTCAACTTATATTAATGATAATTAAATAGATGTCATCCTAGTTACTCGTGAATAGTTACACCAGATGAATTAAAAGTTAACGCGTATCATCGTTAACTAAGTATAATGTTAATCAATAACCGTGAATCTGTAAATAGTGAGATGTATCAATGAAGATGTAAGAACCGATATATCTATATTTCCGATTCTCTGTACCACGAATACGAGGATTTCTAGGGATGTCACGATCCACAAGATTACCTACCATAATTTATGGAGTTCTACGAACAGTTGTTACTTCATCGTATGGCGACCTTATTTTATCATACTGCCTCTATAGCGTATAGGAGAAAACTAAATATGTAACATCTAAAGGCCATGATCTACAGGCGAGTACAATACCGCGGTTTTATATACCAGCGAGCCTGGCTCATCATATTTGTCATATTTTTTAGTTGGCTCGCCATGTAAAACCGCGTTTTTAATGCATGTAAATAGCTCTGCACATTTCTGAATACTGCAAATTTCTTTGGGTTTTACCTTCGGTCAAGTATGTGACTGTAGCTGTTCATGAGGAGAAATTGCTTCTCGCATTATAGTATTTTCTATTATAGGTGACAATAAAGACTACAATTTATTGAATAATTTTTCAGACATTCTCGGATAATTTCTGTAATCAAGGGGTTCTACTAAAAATTATTGAACTAAATGGAAGTGCGACAATTCTTGCCTTTTTTCTATCCAATTTATAACCTAAACTCTAGGGCATTTTAGCTTATTTTTCATTATTTAGTGGCTTCAAAACTTCAGACTTTTGAATGTTCATTCAAATATGACTGCTTTGCTCGCTAGCATATCAGCACCACTAAGCCGCGAGTAAATCGACGTTCTTTAAAACCGCGGTATAGACTTATCTATCGATCACCCACTTAAGCATGTGCATTTTTTTGTTAACACTCAAAGTTCTATTGCAAGAAACTTCATAAATGAATTACATGTAATTTTAATTCTGATTGTTAGATCCTTCATAAAACCATTATTCTATTTACCAAGATATTTATATTTGTACACACGTCCGATATTTTGATCGTCAATAATAAGCTAAGCGTTGTTATTTGGTTCCTTGGTAAATATTAGAAACTTAGTTTAATCCAGGATCGTATTTAAGTCATAATGTAAACTTGTCGTATACAGTTTTTGAACTATTCTCTGCAAATCTTCAATATTCTCTACCATCAACATAAAGCTACACTGTAGTTCGTTTATTGCGCTCGCTAAGTCTATGTTTTCCAGTCAAATCTTCGCATTTATCTTTGTCTTTGGCGTTGAAATCACCCATTATAATAAATATTGCATGTTTTTTAACATATCATAATACTCGTTGTTCAATATGACCGTAAAATTCTTTGATATCCTTGTCTTCGCTCTGAGATGTAGGTGCATAGGTTTGTACTAATTTTTGGGGTATGAATTTGTAATATTATTGCTCTTTCTGATAGAGGAATACATCTAGTGATTGACCTACTGGTAATTTTATTCACCAAAATTCCGAGTGCGTTTGGACGACTCTGCCGATTGTAGCTTCCAGAATAGTATAGCACCCATGGTTGTGGGGCATTTACCATTACCTGACCATATGACCTTTAATCTGGCTATTTCTTCTCCTCCTTTCAGAGATTTTTAGGATCCTCTAACTATCTAACTAACGCCCATGTTAGGGGAACGTACTCATTCCTGCTCGAAAAAAGGAACCGAGTTCAACAGTTGATTAGTTCGCTGGTATCAACCGCTGAACTCAGTTTCTTTATTCGAGCAGGAATGAGTACGTTCCCCTAATGTGATATCCTATATAATATCGACCTCGTGTCACAACATTATTAAAATTTAATAATATCATATAATTTGAGGGTTATTGAACCTTGCGATGTGGCTAGTTCCAACTAATTTTTAATGTTTTTATTGATGGTGGTCCGATATGAACGAAAACGTTCTGATACATTTTATTACTTTTGGATAATTTAAGGTTATAATAAAATATACAGCATTATATCAGAAGTTTTTGCTTCACTGTAAGTGTTTCTTAATTATATCATAATTATTAAACAATTTCTTTATTTTCCTGAAAACTAGCCTTACAATTCTTTAAATAAGTCTTCGGATTTCAACATTTTTGTGACTGCTTAATTTATCATAGTTCCAAGGTATTATCATAGTTCCAAGGTGTAAATCTTCACTTTTTTGAAGGACCATTTATTGTTGTTTTAAAGTTTAAATCAGAGAATTTTTAAATACCCTGTTTTATTCAAGTTTTTAAAGTAATTTTTAAATAAATTACCATAAAATTAGAGTACAGTGGTTGGTAAAGAACAGAAATGACTGCATAGGGAAGGCAGAGGTTCAACTGGAATTGTAGAATCACTGATTATCAGCATAATTATAAGGATAAATTCGATTTAAAAAATTATAAAATTACCTGAACATCCTGATATTAACATATAAATATTTAATCGTTTATAATCATCCTGCATCGTTCTAAGAAAATCAACACCAGCGGGATCGACAAAAGTAAGACTTGAGAAATCCAAAATTACACATTTGGTTAAAAATTCTTCATCATCTTGTAAACCTTTATCCGCTAACTTGGCTCTCTTCCTAAGTACTGCCGCTGCATCAAATTCAGTTTTCTTGACGAGAAGTTCTTTAAAGCTGTTTCTTGATGCAAAACTTAAACCTCCCGAATAATGGAATATCTTTACTCCATCTATTTCTTTAGCCTAAAAAATTTATTTAACAATTACAAAATTATTATGCAAGGTTAGGTTAGGTTAAGAACTAAAAGAAGAATGTAAAGAAGATAAAGAAGAAACGTAAAGGCTGTTTACTGTTTACCTACTAAATAGTAAATAGTCTAGTAGCGTGCTTTTTCTTAATTAACAATAAATATTTAATTATTTTATGTATGATTTTGATTTCACAGCTAAAATATTGCAGATAAGATGAAGCATTACACAACTTATCAATTTGAAATTTGCAAAGTAGGCGTTGCGTTAAATTCATATTGCAGTTCATTTTAGGTACATTTAATTTCACATTTAAAAGTATTTAATCGGCAAATAACAAAATTATTTAAAATGGTTCGCCAAACTACGATTAGTGAAAGAAATTTAATTATTACTCACCATATAAATGGATATAGCCAAAGAGACATATGTTCAAAATGGTACTATATGTTCATCAACAGTTCACCACATTGTTGAACGATACCGAAATGAAGGTAGAGGTGACAATAAATCAAGGTTAGCTCCAAACAAGATTTTACCGAACGTGAAGAAAGATGGATTGTCAGATAAATAGCAAATAATCCTTAAAAAAAGTGCACCATAATTGTGAGACGAGGTAAAAAGACAGTTTGGGAAAAGATGTACCCATGAAACAATTAGATGTATATTACGAAAGAATAATCTACATGGCCGAACTTCTAGAAGTAAACCTTCTATTAGCCACAGAAATGGGCGTATTAGATCGTAGTTCGCCTGGAAGCATATTAACAAAGATTTGAGCTTTTAGAATTCAGTAATATTTGCTGATGAAACCAAAATAAACTTGTTTGGTTTCGATGGAAACATATCGGTGTGGGGAAATCCGAATGAAGAACTAAAATTAAAAATACAGTAAAGCTACGCTAACTCACGGTGAAGGTAATGTCATGAAATGGGGGTGTATGTCGTTCGCAGAAGTAGTTAACATGCATTTTATTGAAGGAAGTATGAACCAGGTTCATATCTCACAACTTAAGAAAAAAGCTATCAGGTTCATTATTTGGTTATTCGCCCAACTAACAAGGGTTGTCAACTTTGAAAACATTAAAAATGACTTATTTTTCTTTATTTCACTCTCACCTAAACTATGGTGTAATTATCTGGGCAATTCAACCAATGCACTTCAAATTTTTAGAATGCAAAATAAAGTTGTCAGGATTTTAGCAGAGGTTATTTATCTAGAACACTGCCAACCTTTCTTTATCCAATTCCAAATTATGCCGCTACCTACTCTGTTGATATTTCAAGTACTAACTGAAATTCATAGAAAACATTGCCATTTAATAAAGCAGTCTCATGTCCATGTTCACAATACGCGAAACTGTCACTACCTACGAACAAAGCGCTGTAGATTAAGTCTTTCAGAAAAAAATTGTCTTAATTATAACTATTACAATCTTTTACTAAAAAGTATTAAACAGCTGAGCTGTAATAGTTTCGATAAAGTTATAAAAAAATATCTTCTAAAACATTGTTTTTACTGCTCAGAAGAATATATGACTCATTGCAGAACATTCACTGAACTGCTTACCGTAACTTTACCATAAATGTTTTTTCTGTTTAATATGTGTGTTCATTTTTTTTACATGAGAAAAATCATCTCATTTTTTCGTTGTATTACTAACTACTATTCTACCGCAATTTTACAGATATTTCCCATTCTTGAACCCTTCCTACTTACATTTTAACCCCACTACATTAGAAATACAGACGATAGCAGACGATATTGTACGATAGCAAACAAGAAAGACGCTCTTTTGCCTGTTACCTATCGCTTGGGACTTGGGACAGACGTACCCTCTTACCTGTTGCCTATCAAGAAGAACAGTCGCTCCTCTTGCCTGTTATATATCGCTTAAGACAGACACTCTCTCTTTACTGTTGACTATTGTTAGTAACAGAAGTATCCTCTCTACTGTTGACTGCCGCTAACAACATTCGTATATATTTGCGAGAGCATCCACATACTCTTTACTAAGACCTACTTTCTAAATCTTATTTATGACTTCTCTAAATCTACAAACAATAGATGGGTAGATAGATTCCTTGCCTTCCGTTTTTCGATTACTAGCTGCAGAACGAATATACCATCAGTGCACGATGACCTGCACGAAATCCATTTTGTTCTTCAATGTCTTCGTATTCTGATTCTATTCTTTCTTTTATTATTCGACCGTACAACCTCCCCACTGAGCTGATAACAGTTATTCCCCTATAATTAGAGCATTTGCGTTTATCCCCTTTCTTGCGTTTATCATTTTAGCTATGACATCAAACTCATACATAAAATAATTCAACATTTATTGTTATTTAAGTACAGTATATTTGAAACCCAAACAATAGCTTCTGCTATTATAGAAGACTTATAATATAGGTTTGTCTATATATTACACCTATAGTCTAATATATTGCATTAATTTTATAATTTAATTTCAGTATGTAATTTTTTTTTCTTATAAATATTGAGCCACTGACACAAGTTAGTTTTATTGAGTAGCGACTGCATCACTTAAGCTGTGAGCCACTGTATATATATATATATATATATATATTTATATATAACATATATATAACATATACATATATATATATATATATATTATATATATATATATATATATATACATAAAAATCTTCAAATAATTGCCAGGGGGCATATTTTTAAGTTTCATTTAGCATTTAAGGCTATTTTTATATTTCAACTATGCTTGTTTAAATCTGTTAAATATGGATTAAGTAAGTTATTGTCTACCAATACGATTACACTATGTGAATTTTTGATTTTATGAACAATTCTTTGTAACACTGCTGTAGCTGTAATTACCATCGATATTGTATTACTACTCATTTTACATTATTATCTCCTTTCACTTAATATAAGAGGTCCCTTTTGGGCCTTCTCTGCCAATTTAAAGAGCTTCACAAATCCTTCTAAAAGAGTGCAGATAAAAGAGTTCTTGCAGATTTGGACTAATATTTGGTTTTCACTAATATATGGAATATATGGAATTCTATTTTAAAATTAGTTAATTTAGTTAATCACGTTTTTTAAAGCTTTAAAGTGTAAAATATTATATACTTACCCCCTTATATCTCTTAATATCCAAATACAAATCGGTATTTGGAACAATACCCAATAGACACGTGTAAGGTTTGTATCCTTGAACAAATATGCTTAATAAGGATACACCTACACCTGCGGCTAGACCATAACTTATTTGAACAAAAAGTGTCACTGAAAATGTAATTATCCACACTATAGCATCCCATCTACTTAATCGCCAATACCTTGGAAGTAAAGTACATTGCAACAGCATTCCTTTGAGAGCTACGACTATTATACTGGCCAGCACACACTACAAAAAATTAATAATATAATTACTAACCTCGCATAATACCAGTATGTTCAGATAGTACTTGATTCATTAGAAACATTGCAACTGCCGTAATCTAAATTGATATAAATTCCACGTTAAAATTCACAATATGACTAATATACAAATAAAAGCATAAACATATAGCTTTTTTTAAATGAAATGGAAGCAAAACATCCAATATTTATTTTGAATCATAAAAAATTATTAGTTCATTTTTAGGTAATAATTTGAAAGAAATGCATTGTAAAGTGTGTTAAGTTTGTTTCTGAATGATATAGAACATACGATTCAGACCAGGGCTAGGAACATAGGTGAAGAGTTAAATGTATCTAAGTATAATCCCAGTATATAATCCCAATATAACAGTAAGTTAACTGTTACAGATACATTGGTGATACTATAAGCGTCCATAGACAATTTGAACTCAATAATCCTCTTTAATGGTTTTAAAAAGTAAAAAATAGAAACATTAACTAGACCCTCCCCAAGAAAAAATTACATTTTGCACATTATGTGTTTTTTAAATATAATTCAATCACTTTTTTATAACTTATAACTTTGTAACATTGCTGTTTATATAAAACACAAAAAGTTATGTATGGTTAGTCCTGCTATATCCTACTATGATATAGTAAGGCTTCTATATGTCACTATACTTAAAGCTAGGAGAAAATACCAGTACATCCTTTCCCTATCTCAACTGCAATAAGCATGCTTCGGATCAAGTAGAGCATTATATTCACACGAACCACGACGGAAACGAAAAACATACTATACTAAGAGTTATTAACAGTCAAGTTTTACAAGAAATAACACAGGAACGTCAGGATGCTAGAATGTATATACAGTCCGTCCCAAACCCTTCTTTCAGTGCGTCATAGTTGTTCGAATTCTCTCTAACGCATTAAGCTAGAAGTGACAGAAAAAAACGTGAGTTTCTGATTATTATACATAGAACTTAGAAAATTAGGTATCGGTCACGGGTATTCGCATATTAAAGCGAATTCTACTTACGAACGTATAATTGGTTGGAGTTTAGAATACGCTAAATAGATATCCAATCAATTATGCATATAAATATAATTTGACACAGATGATCTTGATAATGACAGTGACAGTACTTTCACAATGTCAACTGATAAAATGATAATTGCCGTTCCAGGTTAGTATTTTCAGACATTTTACCTACAGTGAAAATTAAATTTTGTATTTATTGTCATAAAAATATTTTAAATATTCCGAGATATACCGAGAATGAACAAAGACTAATATTAAAATTATTAAATTAGTTTCAATTAGAAAAAGAGGCTGAGTTATCTTTATTATCAGTTTCTGTCGTTCGCGAATCAGATTGTGAATTCCGGAATGATATTGAGAAAATATCTTAAACTAATACCGTTATGAATATTTATATGTATTAAAACGGTTCTTTTTAGAACCACGACATTTTCTTGAAATGTAAGATATAATTGATACCAGCCACATATCTAGTGTAATCATTGATTTTAAAGAATCAGATTCTGAATGGGATTATGGATTGTTTGAAATATAATATTTCATTTTTGTTATTCATAAAAAAGAAGGTAAACTTACATTCGGTATCTTGTTTTTTAACTAAACTCTATTAACACGATTTCATCTGGATACCGGAACTGGTAGATTAACTCAAAAATCAACTGCTTCACTATTTAAACTATTTATATTGTTTTTTTAACTAAACTTTATAACCTTCTTTCATTTGCACACCAAATCTGGTAGAATAACTCAAAAATCAACTGCTTCACTATTTAAACTATTTCCACTATTTAATGACAAATCTTCACAAAATTAAACTATTGGCTGCCACAGAAACTTATCAGAAAATTACTTATCCAAATATGACTGATTTAAATCGATGTTATTTTATCACAGGAATGTTTACTTTGATGCCTTGCAATTGCAATTGTCATTGCAATATGCCTGTGTGTTTGTAATAAATAATAATAAATCCATAAACGAATCTAAGCTAATTAAGCACTTTCCTTGGAATGTATAAAATAGAACAGAATAGAACAGAATTATGACAAACTGCTATGCATTTAAAAAAAAATAACCTTTTCACATTTAGCCGATTACGATCCTGCAACTGTCAGATTTAACTAAAATGTCATGCAATAATTCTCGACATTCTTTAAATCCTATATGACGTCAAAATTAGTGACGCACTGAAAAAAGGGTTTGGGACAGACTGTAGGCGAGATTATTAATAGTTTAACTCAAGACAAACCATGGAGAGGGATTTCAACCAGCCAGATAAGACGAATAAAGTAGAGTAATATTATTAATTTATTTTCAACTCTAATTATAAAGATTCCACACTGTATCTTATATACTAAAACGCTAAGCCCTTTTCTTGTCCACCACTTTACTCAAAAACCATATTAGATAATTAAAATATTTTTTCGGAATATTATTAGTATTACGTATGAGATTGTCAAGATATACTTTTGGTACAAAAATTCACTTCCGGTTTTGAGATGACCGGAAGTTAAAATTTACTTTAAGTTTTAGACCCCACAATGTATATATGGATCGAAAGGTCTCGTCGAGACGAATCTAAATATGTACTTCCGGTTGCGATCCGACACCGAAAGTGACCCGAAACGCGCATAAAACGTCAAGATAGAGCAAATCTGACACCGGATTCGTGATCAGCATGCAAAATTAACTGCTAAATGATATCCATGTCGACATTTGATGAACTAAAAATTGCATTCCGGTTTTGAGGTCGACTTCCGGTTTCGTTTTTATTAAAAAGTAAAAAGTAAAAGTTTATATAACTCCCGGTGCCAAGCAAAAGTTTTCAGAAAATGGAGACATTGTAACAAAACACATTGTTTTCGACGAAATATTTCGTGATATTTAATACACTTTTTACTTGCATTATTACTGATGAATGTTATGTATATTCTTGCTTATATTGTTTGTATTGATCTCTTAATTTTTCTCGCAAAATAAAAATTTCATTTAAAAAACTCGATGTCGAGTTGGTCCGCTAGTACTACACTAAAACGTTTTATTACTTTAACCAATTTATATAACCTTCATCGATAATTAAAATTTAATATACAATTAAATAACTGTCTGACTAAGCAGAATTTTCATATCAAATGTGAAACAAAATAAAATATTCAAAACTATCAAATTAATATTATCTGGCATTATTATGCGAATATTTACCTACCAATTTATAAGAAACCTAATTAGAAAAATAATTAACAGTTTACCTTCGGTAAAGTTTCAAAAAATGGTCCGATCCAAAGTACAATCACCAACAGAATAGAAGCGGATACTACAGAAACTAATTGGGTAACACCTCCAACTGTTTGCTGAATCATCGATCTTGATAATGATGCCGTAATAGGTAAGCATGAAAAAAAACGATCCAACGGAGTTGCTTACACCCTAAAATTATCAAATAAAAAATAATTTACTTATTACAAAGCAAAAAAATATAATACAAATAAAAAACAGTTCTTACCAACGCAAATAATTCTTGATTGGAATCTACCTCATACATTAATTTTCTAGCAAATATAAGGGCCATTGACATTGTGATCGTATACGATACCATCGTGATAATAAATGATTCTACGAAAATTTCGGGAATAAGTTCAAAGGCAGGAAGAGTTGGTTTTGGTAATCTGAAATGAATTAAAGATATCATACGAATTACGATCCAACATGAAATAATGTATAATGATATAAATTTAAAATTTTCTCATTCTTGTAAAACCATATTATTGAACATAGGCGCACAAGCACACTGTTCCCAAGTTTAAGATCAACGGTATTAGTAGTTTTGAAACTTAGTACATAGGTTCCTCTTTGTCCGAGCAAGAGCCCTAGGTTCAGGTTATACAGGTCAAGAAGATCGATACCATATATTTTTGGAGTCGCTCAATAGTCTCGAAAGTGTCACAAAGTGTTTGCCGCCTGCGATATAATGCCTCTCAGTCACGCAATGGTTGATTTCCTGTGCTACACTGATAGAAATTAAATGAGTCCATGTAACCTCTCCACCTTTTGACATCGTTCTTTTTTTGGAAAGTCTTATTTTATTTCTAACATCCCTGTTTATTATGTTATAACATGCTGTGTTCTTTTTTTAGTTTAGCCAAAGGCTTAAGGATCTCTCAGTATTTTTCTACAGTTTTTGTTTTTTCAGTTTTAGGTTTTCCTTCTTATTATTTTCTCTTAAGATTTTAATGCCATAAACGCAATTTTATTTTTTCTGTGATCGTATTAGTTTTTCCCTAAAATTAAAGTCTCTCATTAGAGGGCTGTAGTCTGAAGTGATGTCCGCTCTGGTAAATATGGCGACCAATGTCATGTTATTTTAAAAGCATTTCTTGATTATGAAATAATAGGTTTGATTTGTGACTGGGGGATTTTCTGCGAAAAATTTCCATGTGTAGAGACGTCTTGGATACACATCGTAATGGATATTTTAATGTTTAAATGGAATCTTTATCCCTGTTTATTCTTTTCACCTACATCAAACCGACTTACGATATCTTCAATTGCTTAGCGCCGTCCTAGTTTCTTATCAAAATCGCCCATAATGCATTTGATGGTGTTGATGTTAAATTGTTTAACCGCCAGTTGTATTACGAAGATTCATTACAAGCATGTTATCATATTTACTGCTGACTTCTTTATTATTTTCTTTCTTCTCATTAAAAATCCGACGCCATTTCTGTGCCTTGGATCTTTATTTGTAAGTCCCGAATAGTAGAACGTTGTCTTCATGTTCCGTGTAATAAAGAAGAAGTATAGCTGATTTCCTGGGCTACACTGATAGAAATTAAATGAGTCCATGTAACCTCTCCTCCTTTTGACATCGTCCGTTTTTTGGAAAGTCTTATTTTATTTCTAACATCCCTGTTTATTATGTTATAACATGCTGTGTTCTTTTTTTAGTTTAGCCAAAGGCTTAAGGATCTCTCAGTATTTTTCTACAGTTTATGTTTTTTCAGTTTTAGGTTTTCCTTCTTGTTATTTTCAATTAAGATCTTAATGCCATAAACGCAATTTTATTTTTTTCTGTGATCGTATTAGTTTTTCCCTAAAATTAAAGTCTCTCATTAGAGGGTTGTGGTCTAAAGTGATGTCCGCTCTGGTAAATATGGCGACCCATGTCATGTTATTTTAAAAGCATTTCTTGATTATGAAATAATAGGTTTGATTTGTGACTGGGGGATTTTCTGCGAAAAATTTCCATGTGTAGAGACGTCTTGGATACAAATGGTAATGGATATTTTAATGTTTAAATGGAATCTGTATCCTTGTTTATTTTTTTCACCTACATCAAACCGACTTACGATATCTTCAATTGCATTCAATTCATAATGCATTTGATGGTGTTGATGTTAAATGGTTTAACCGCCAGTTGTATTACGAAGATTCATTACAAGCATGTTATCATATTTACTACTGACTTCTTTATTATTTTCTTTCTTCTCATTAAAAATCCGACGCCATTTCTGTGCCTTGGATCTTTATTTGTAAGTCCCGAATAGTAGAAGTTGTCTTCATGTTCCGTGTAATAAAGAAGAAGTATAGCTAGATTAACAGATTAAGTGCCAGACATTTTTTCCATAAACCAAAATATTGTGTGTGTCTACCCAAATGGGTGGACAACAAAACTCAAAAATTTTTGTGGGCCAAAGTGGGTCTACAACAATGATTTATTAAACTTTAATCAAATAAAAGGCAAGTATCGAGCACAGTTTAATTAATTTAATCTTGCCCAAGTACTTTCGCTCTCTAGAGCATCTTCAGGGCCATTTCGTCAATTGTGGCCTATCTGACAAGAATAAAATGGTACATCTCACTACACTATACAAGAACAAACAAACACTTTAAAATGTTTAAAAATAGGCGAAGCTACATTGTGTACAGAAGCTGGAGACAGAATTCTGCCTGATGAGGTGCCAAGGAGCAAAAAAAGTAAACGCGGTTGGACATGTCGAAGAGATAAGTTATTTTTTAAATATTGTTTTTGGCTTGTTTTTATAATTTACTGTTTAGGCTGCAATTCTAATTAGTTTTAATTTTCGTGAAAAATAACACCGCACACATTAGCAAAAATGAGTTGCTACTAATAACAACCAAATAAATGTGTACACAAATTTTTTATTATAGGCCCGAAAAAAAGCATAAAAAATACATAAGGGGTAAGTTCAAATCCGAGGAAAAAATTTAAATTCATTGTGAGGATAGAAAACAAAAACTTTCGGGATATAAAATACACAATAGGTGGTAGTACGATTTATAAAACAAAGCAAAATGGTACGTTACGAAGTGTAGAAGCGGGGTGAAAACCGTAGCTGTTAAACTAATAAGAGGAGCTTAACGAAACTCCACAAAAGCTCAGTAGATCAGATCAAGAGTTTCAAATTTCAGAAGTCGATGACGATATGATACTATTCTTAGGTATTTGCATTCTATACTTACCCAGTAGGAATAAAGCCAACTACTGTTATATTGTAGTTACTACTGAAATGCATAAATCGGCTCGATGCTGTCCCGAGTACCACAGCAACTAGTTCGATAGGAAAAGGTATCGTTGTCTTTTTGGCTAACCACGGCTAAAATCAGATAAATGTTATACAATTTTTTTATAAGTCTGTAACATATTTATTGCTACCTAAATGTTACCTATAAAATAATGATTAGTTACGGTTATTTGACTTGTATCTTTTTTTGTGCTATAAAAATCATCACAGATGAGAGAAAATATGTTGATAACAGTTACCTTAGTGATTTGTGCATCCATTATTCGCTCCGTGCGTGACTGATGCGACACCTACCGCCTTCATCTGACAATTTTGGAGTCCCAATTTTCAGGTTAAATATATGACATGTTTGACATTGTTAAATACATGCGAAATTGACAATTATTAATAAATTAGTTTTTTAACTATATTTTTTCAGTTTATGTACAAAATAAATGTAGTATTAAAAACTGAGTTTCTCAAAATTGATCGTAATATATCTTTTTACCTCAAAACGGAAAAGAAAGCGAAAAATCTAGTACTGGCAAATCAAGTTTTTCACGCAAAAGACCATATATTTAAAAACAATAATAGTAAAAGTTATGATATAAAAGCTAAAGTCATCTGCAGTTAGCTTGAAGCCTTATGAAATATCATTCAAGGTAAATTATTTAAATTGTTCCTATTTCAATTGCATAAAAATGAAATTATGTGATATTTACTTTTTCATATTAATAGCACGAATTCATCTTTTTCTTTTCTCTAATTTATATGTAATCTTTGGGAACCTATAAAAACTACACTCACTGTTTTTGCTATTATTAGCAGAATTAAATACGCAACATGTATTTGCACACATTTTTGATAAAACTTATGCGTAAAAATATTTTGTCCAATATTCCAATTTTGTCATATTTCGCCGCTACGCACGCTGGCATCGTTTCAATGTACCCCTACCATGGTCACGCACGGAGCGAATAGAAATGTAAAGTTGTATTAGAACTTGTTATACTTGGTACTTAAAAAGTTTAATCAGTATTATATGAAAATTGTTTTAAGTTTAACTCTCTGTATAATAAAAAAGAGTATAGAAACAATGATCTATTGCAACCATAGTTTTTTAATAATAGTCAAAAATTATAAAAATTATCAATTTTAATATTATTCATGTTTTTCATAGGTCACTGAACCACTACTAGTCTAGTCGTCAAATAGTTGACCCCTAAAAATGATACGAACAAGCTAAATTTTGTCGAGAATATCAACTCTGGGACCCCAAAAAAGATCCAAAAAAGTTTCCCACTTTTACCCCCGGGCTTCCCCCTAAAACTCCCCTTGTAGGTGGTAAAAACGCAAAAAAATCAATCTAAGAAAAATCTGTACTCCGTAGAAAAAAATGTTTCAAATAAAAAGTAAGCATAAAAATGTAGCTAAAAAATGTAGGTAAAAAATGATTTACATTTAAATCGATAATTATTTACATTTCAAATGATCGCACGTCACGGAAAATGCCTCAAAGAAGACGGTTTTAATTTATAGCAGAAGTTTGGTCCTTTTGAAAAACGTACTGGTTTAATTGAAAAATAAACGTTAGATTGTTTGTTATGTGAAATTTTATATCAAACGTGTTTAAGAATATTTCAAATGCCTCACATTTGTTTGCTAAAACTCAAAACTAAAATATCATGCTATAGGTTTTGAAGGTTAGTCCCTTGTAATCGAAACTTACAGTAAATTCAACTTCAAGCTACGGACGATGGAAACAAATGCACGCTGGAAACACGCGTTTGTTCAGGGCCGGACTAGTAAATTAAAGCTGCAATATAAAACCTTATATAATTTGTAGACGTCTGACAGGTACAGATTATAGTACACCAATTTTTTAAATATAAAAATAATTTACAAAGTCGAGAGTTATTAACAAAAAAATAAAGTATACAAAGAAAAGTTTATAAAATTACCGTATTTTATCTTAACTTTCAGAATCTGATGTACTGCTGTCATCATTAAAGTTGATAATGATAGGCTCAATTTGTGCCTCAATTAAATTGTCCAACTCCCACATTTTTAGCTCCACTTCTTCTTTTACATGTTTGACGCAGTTTTTCCATTTTTTCCATGGTTACAGCAGACACAGCTTCATGAAATAAATTTTTAATGTCAGCAAATTTAAATGTTGTGTTATGCCATGCTACATAATTCTTGACTTCCGCCCATACAAGCTCGATTGGATTGAACTCGCAGTGATACGGTGGCAACCTTAAAACTATTCTATTTGTGCTTCTTACCAGTTCATCTACTATGTACTTATTATATTCGCCTTTATGTTGTTTAACGATTTCTAAAAGTTGCACCTTTAACATCGTTTCTTCAAAGGGAATGTCTTTTGAGCGAAGCCAATTTTGAATATCTGCCTTTTTTGTAGCCACAATGGGAATTTTTTACAATTTTCTGGAATGGTAAGGGGCATTGTCCATTACAATTATAGCATTTTTTTCCAGTGTTTGGAACGCTAAAGTAGGATTATCTTGTAATTCACATTTGTATGTATTAACCATTATTTTTTTGATTCTTATATCTACGTGATTTTTCTTAGCTCTTTTCCTAGGAGGACTTAGCGTTAACAGTTCCTCATTTTCATTTGCCGACTCCGTATCAGACATATTAAATAAATGGTATTTTCTCAACTAAAATAACAAATTTTACTTTTCAAATTTACTTTTATAGTAGAGGATCCGATATAAGGTTTACCTACACCGCTTTGGTAAATGTGATATTTTTTACTAATGATTTTGATCCTTGAAAATCGTCATCTATCGTTCTTCGTCTGTCAATTCTTTTTCCTCTGTCAATTCTTGTTCGCCTGTCAATGCTTCCTTGTCTTCCAGTTTTAAATTATTTATAACTCGAACACGATCAACTTAAGAAAAATTACAAAATAAATTTTTGTTTAGAATGATCCAAAAAATCTAAAACAATATCTGCCCGGGTTGATTTTTTTTAAAATATATAAAAAAAGGTATTTTTTAACTCTTTTCGGCACATCGGATTGAAATTTGAACCACCAAATTTTTGCTACATGTTGTACAGTAATCCACAAAATGAATCACTTATTAATCTATTTTTATCAAGTTACACCTACGCAACTGGTTTGTATTACTTATTCCCTCTGTCCCTATTAAGTGTTATCTTTAATTGGTAAAATTCCCACGGTATAGTTATTGGCCAAATGCGAATGGTTATCAGTTGTTTCTTGAAAAGTGAGGTCATTTTACTTTTTACGTGTGCAATTGAATCTTTCTATGCCCCAAGGGTCCATTGTAGAAAATTTATAAAATCTCGTGCCGCAAAGAGTTTAAATTAATTATAGTCAGGACAAAATTATATCGGGCACCTCTTGTTTTTCATAATTTTTAACATACTAAATAATTTTTATCCATTAAACATATCAGTGCAGGTCGATATTATATCTTATCTTATGGCTATTATAAATGATTTATTATACACTTACAGGAATTATTTTAAAGTGGGGAAAAAGTTTGTATCGCCTATAATTAAATGTTCTTAAAAATGCTTTGCACTATCCACACACGAGCTAACGATTAACAAATAAACAAACCAACAAACAGCGTTGCACAAAAATTGACTGGGCCATTTCGCATTCGACAGAGGACGGAGCGGAAAAACGAAGTCCGCACCTGTTAGGGCTAACTGCCTGACTTACGATCGTTCGACAATTTGGCCAATAGCAAGGCGTTCGTCACGTGTAGACTCGAATATCACGCGGTGACTTGTGTTGATTCTGTCCGTAACTTGAAATTGAATTTACTGTAGTGGTCAGTCAATAAAAGAGATAGATTTTTATTGATCTTATATTAATCCGATATTAATTTAACATCTTTATAAAAACTAAGTTTATTCGCGGCAAATTACAAAAACTCCATATAAAGGCATCTCTTTACCTTTAAAACGCTTCTTATTTTTTGTCCATAGGACACCTGGATCAAAAGATATCGAATTTTTACCGTCGAGCTGATACTTTATTGAACATTTATTTCGCGCACGTGATTGACATTTAAAACCGACAGTCGCTTCAAGCATTGTTTTTAAGATTTCGGTTTATTCTACATAAAGTGCTAATAAACATTATTGTTTAAAATTACCTCAGCTACATTTTTTAATTCAGCTTGTTCGTATGATTTTTAGAGGTTGAGTGGCATTTTCGTCTCTAACGACTGGAGTATACCGTTAAACTGAGCTTTTAAACTGAACTAATTAAACTTTTTATAAATGATTCATAAACAATTAAGTGTAATGGTACTTTTAGATAGTGATAGAAAATATATGGTAATCCATTTTTAATTACCAAAAAAATAATGTACTTGTATTTTGACTTACCCTGTACATGATTTTTTTGCAAAAATAATCATTTTTATAATTTTCGACAATTTAATTAAAAAACTGGTCGCAATAGATTATTGTTCCCATAACCCATTGTAATTATACAGTGCGTTGAACTTGATATGATTTTCATGTACTAATATTGGTGACAACTTTTTAATTACCGAGTGTAACAAGTTCTAATTTTATATTGTTGTGACGAAGAATTTCAAATTTAGTATCAAATACATGGTATTTCTTTCAAACTTTGATCTGGCAGGCTATTACGACACATCCTAAAGATTGTAACTAATTTTAAAAATACAAAGTTTAAAGCCATCTACAATTTTTGGCGATAACTGTTTTTTGTATATTTTACTGTAACAGATCTACATTCTTCCTCACTTCCTCACATTAATCAGTCACTGTATATACTTTAGTGGAACAAAATTATAAAATACTCGTAGTAGAACAAAATTATAAGTATAATATATGTTATTACTTACTTTAAGTAACTCATTATTAATAATTAAAATAACACAGGCTATTAAGGACACAACCATAGCACTAACATTAGCCGATGAAACTGCTAGGACTGCATCATATATAGTCTAAAATAAAATAAAAAAATATATTGTAGAAAGTTTTATAAAATTCTAATAATAAATAAAAACTTACCAGCGGAAAAGCAAAGTTTCCTCTTCGTTTAGTAACATTAAGACCAAGGAGATCCTTAAGTTGAGATCCGACTACATGAAATGCTGAAGCGCATGTAAATCCATTTACTAACGTTTCAGACAACAACTGGGAAACCATACCAAGCCTTAACAGATACATCGCTAGCTGTAAAAAACAAATATATTGTAACTCTATTTTTATATTGTTAAAAAAATAAATAAAAAACAAACACAATGTATTTTCTTTAGTAGAGTTTTAGTTTCGAGTTGTGAAATATCAAACACATAATTAGAAGGTAAAGCAACAGTGTACAAAAGCAGTGAAAATGTCTGGGCATATTTTTATTCTAGCGACAATAAAAATGCTCAAGACACATATGTACCTGCAAACTCTGATTGAAATCAAAGTTAGAAGGAAAAAGACGTATGTATAAACCGAGTTAATGGGGGTGGTGAGACTGACAAAAGTTTCAAGAGAAATTTTACTTGCCGGTATAATTTAAAAATTGTTGATTTAAAAAGAGTAAATACGGTGAGTGTGGGAGTATGAGCGCGATAATCTGTTTATACAAATATTTGGTATAACCCACAATACGTTAGGAAGAATCTGTAAACTTTAAGCCACTGACACAAGTTCTAAATATATGAGAGGTAAAGGTAGGAGTAGTCAGGCCTTTAATGGCCACTTCTTCTTAAAGTGTCCTCTCCTCTTACGTCTTATTAGCTGTTTAAAATTTAGCTCTGTCCATTGTAGAATTATTCATAGCCATGATAGTCTTTTCCTTCCTAGTCCTCCTTTTCCCTCGATCTTTTCTTTCACTAAGTTGAGCATATTGGTACTTATTATTTTTGAATTTGTGCCTAGGTATAGTATTTTTCTAACTCTCATTGTATTAAAAAGTTTTATACAGCATTTCTTCGTTTGAGACTTTCAATGTCCTTGAAATTTATTTACGGTTCACGTTTTAAGGGTCCACGTTTCAACTCCATAGAGAAGAGTCGACCAGATTTAGCGTTTTGATAAACCTAATTGAGTTTCGAGTTTTATTCGAGAATCACATAGGAGTCTTTTTCGAAAGATTTTCTGGCCTGTCCTACTCTCGATCTTATTTCTAGATCAGGATTTAGACTGCTATAGATCCAACATCTCAGGTACTTGAATTTGTTGACCTGTTCTAAAATGAACCCGTCTATTATGCAAGGCAGAGGTACATTTTGGTTTTTTTTTCGGAATAACATCACTTTGGTTTTTTAAATGTCTATTTTCATACCAAATTGCACAGACCGACAGTTCCTGTCGTGACTTGTTGTAAACCCAAGTCTGAATGCGCAACCAACACCGCATTATCGGTGTATCTGATGCTGTTGATATTTACGCAATTCACCTTGACTCCGTCCTTGGAATCGTCTCACAGTCTATTGTCCATGATCACATCTCAAAATTTTAAGTAAAATAACTAATTATGGGAAGTTTACAAGAAATATTTGGATGCGAGACTTAATCTAAAATTATTGTTTGAAATGTTTATAATGGATCATCTTGACCTAGAAAATATTGTCAAATATCACTATTACTAAACATATTTTCGTGAAAACTTTGGCTTTGGCTTTGCCTTCATCGTTAACAATGTTCCAGTCCGAGGACATTCGTTCTCTCCCTGTGATAGGGATTTTGGTACAATAAAACATCTTGTGAAAAGGTCGATCGTATCTATTGCTGAGAAAAATATGCGTATTTGATATTGAAGGTAGAGTCAGAAATGATCTTCACCTTTAAATATTGATGGCCAATATTTTACATAAAGCTGACCATATCTGATGAAACCGCTGGTAGTAAGGTACGGAAAGAAAAGAAATTACTTCAGGTTCAATCTTCCAATAAAGCGACCCCTGAGAAAGTCATAGCTAAGCAGTATATTGATGGATCTATTCAATCAACTTTTTCCCTCCTGAAAGTTTAGCGATCTATAGCCTTACCATCTGAGATGGCCTAACCTAAAGGTAAGGTATCTAATCTACAAAAATGTGTCTAATGATACTTATAATTTTGATGTTGCAAGTACCTACCTTGAAACGTGCATAACATTGCAGATTTGAGAAATTAAAGGACTATTTAGTTAAGTACGAAGATTTTTACAAGCCCACCTTCGAATGACCTATAATTGACGCAGAAGTCATGTCAGTATGTTTGTTATAGAGGGTATTATCAAGGTGAAAATTAACAGGTTACTGCAAATGAGATTTCTTCTTAAAAAATCCCCAGTTTGGATCACATTTTAGTTTGTGGAGTCATTTAAATTTTTAAAAATGAAGATAAATAGTATATTTAGTATATTTAAAGGACATAAGAAATTTTACAATCATTTATTCGTAATTCAGTTTTTCCTAGTTTTTCGAAAATTATTAGTTTGGCGCTTAACTGGTTTGTGAAATAAACCATTCAATCAATATATTTAGTGACTAAATTCAGCACCTACTGAAGTAGATATTTTATTTCTTCAAATTAAAAAAATATCGGGATAAAATAATACCAGATACAAAGATACAGATAATAAATGACATCTAACAGTTACCTTAGTGTCAAAACCAAAGGGGCAAGTATGTTTCCACCAATCTCGACAGTCAATGATTCCTTCACCATTAAAGGCGATGTTATTTGACCAAAGTTGTTTTAAAATATTATTAAAAAAGAGTTAAAACTTAATTTATATATATGGTCGTGAAGAATACCTTCCACTTATATATGCACCCTGGTATTTTTACAAAAATTTATAATAAAAAACAATTTGCATTACGTGAAGATGTTTCCACTTATAAGAAGTATAAATGATAGAAAATTACATAAGTACCTGTATAACAGCCACTGTGAAGGTAACCGTAATGGCTACTTGTACATTTGTATACTGAGGTAAATTGGAATCATAATTTTCAGGAGCCACTGAATGTTGTGTCCCATTTTGCATTATTTCTATCGTTGTATATTGACTAACTACTTTTCCTGTCATGAGACATACTACTGCAAATGTACCTGCATATAAAAATAATAGTGAGATAATTGATAAATTTTTTTGCAAATATAAATAGCGTTTTTGTTTTTAATTTTACACTGAAGTCAAACAATAAATATAGAAACTTAAAATCTAGATAATTCACCAAACGCTTCGTATATAAATCTGACGTGTATTCGAGATTATGCAAAAGCTTATGACGTAAGCCTGGAGTGGGAACTTACAGATTAACCTTATAACGAAGAAAACTACTAAGCCTATGACACGTCTCACAGAAATGAGCTATGCAACTCTATAATTCTTATTTACGTTACGTAAGCGTATCCAAAAGCACACATCACTACCATCATCATTTGCACTATAGCACTTTGTGAGTCAAAGCGTTCTTTAGAACAATCTCCAATTCCGTCCTGTCTCTAGTAATTCTTAATCTTTTAACATCAATGAATTTTAAGTCTTAGTTTAAGTTGTCTATCTATATTAAGTTTCGATCTACCTCTAGTATGTCGTCCCACTGTTCCTCTTCGGGCAAATACTCTTCCCGCCGTCGCATATTCCACCCATCTACATGCTCAATCCATCTGAGTTGTGCTATCTTACTGAATTTTAAAACGTCGGCTTTCCCGAAGCGTCTATATAACTTAAAGTTGTAGCGTCTACAACACAAACCCTGCTCTTTTAGTCCTCCGTTTTTAGTTTTAGGGACATTTTGGTAAAAAAGGTCTCTACGTTGAAATAGCTTACAACAAACGTTTGCACGATGACATTAGAAGTATTCTAGGCGTTTCAACCAGGTAATAATTGCCATACTTCAATTAGGATATAGAAACTGACGTATTAATAGTTCATTAAGAAGCAAGTCTAACTAAAATGCACAATATGTGAACTTGTAAGTAATACATATCCTTAACTGTCCAAAAGTTAAAAAAAATAATTTCTAAAAGCAATTTCAAGTGTGATAATATTCTAAAACTGGTACAAGGTTATAAACTGATGTATCACATGTAATTATTGTAACTTGTAATTAATATATCTACTAAATAGATTAGCTAATACTCTAGTATGGTTAATTTTAAATAAAAAACTATAGAAACTTTAATCTGTTATCAGTAAATTATATTTTTAAATCGTGATGCAATTATAATATGCAAATAAAGAATTCAAAAAAGTCAGATACAATCAGTAATTTAAGTATCAAAATAATTAAACCAATATACTTAATTTGAAAATACAAGAAAAGAAAGAATATAACAGGTAAATGATTTTGAATTTGCACATGAGCTTCAAGATAAATTATATATATATATATATATAATATATATATATATTATATATATATATTATATATATATATATATATATATATATATAATGAACCAGAAGTATTTGCTGACCACGTAAGGAAGTAAACTTTAAATATTGGGTATGCAGCAATAAAAATGAAAGGTGTACTCTTTAAATTTTTATTCCAAGCTTTCGGACATTGGTTATGTCCTTCATCAGGGAGAAACTTAATGAGGTTGTATCATAAATGATTTTATAAAAATTGTTGATAAAATTTATCACAGTCTGTTGAGCTAAAACCTATTCTTATATTTAAAATTTAAAAAATTACTTAACATTCACACAAACTTAATTATTTATACACAAATCTATGACATTGATTATAATAATATTATAATATTTTAATAAGAATATTTTAACCAAATACTTAATATAGACGAAGAAGAAAACCCGGAAGACGAAAGCTGTGAGGTAAGCGGAGCAGACGAGAGGGAGGAGAACCCACCAACGATCCTGGAAGTTAAAGACGCTGTCAATAAACTAGCCAGAAACAAATCACCCGGAATAGATAATCTTCCAGCGGAATTATATAAACAAGGTGGCCACGATATCAGAATAGCGCTACAGCAGCTTATAAAAGAAATATGATACAGAAGTCCCTCCCTGTGATTGGAATATTGGAATACTTTGCACCATGCACAAAAAGACAGATATCTTTGAATGCTCTAACTATCGAGGAATTACGCTCCTAAATGCAGCGTATAAAATATTCTCCAATATACTATGCCATCGTATGGCACCGTATGCAGAGCAAATAATAGGACAATACCAGGCTGGTTTCAGAGGTGGTAAATCAACAATTCATCAGATTTCAACCCTGAGACAAATTCTAGAGAAAACACTGGAATATGGTGTAGACACGCACCACATATTTATAGACTACAAGGCAGCCTACGACTCTGTAAGTAGAAGAGAATTGTTTAGAGCACTGATAGACCTGGGAGTACCAAGTCAGTTGGTAAGTTTAACCAAACTAACCCTTGAAAAAGTTGAATGCAGAGTACGATTCCAGGGGAACTCTCTGAACCTTTTAATACAAATAACGGGCTACGTCAGGGAGACCCACTCTCCTGTATACTATTCAATCTAGCTCTGGAAAAAGTAATACGTACGTCACAAATCACAACTACCGGTTCAATATATAACAAATCTGTGCAAATCCTAGCATATGCTGATGATATCAATATTGTTGAGAGAACGGAAAACGCAGCACGAGAGGCGTATGTACCACTAAAGGAAGCGGCTACAACAATGGGTTTAATAATAAACAATAATAAAACGAAATACATGAAAGTAGGTCCGCAACCACAAATACGACGGCCACTTGTTATAGAAAACGACGTCATCGAAGCAGTTAACGAATTTGTATACCTGGGAACGCTCGTCAATACTGAAAATGACATTACCGCAGAGATAAGCCGCAGAATTTGCACGGCTAATAGATGCGATTTTGGGCTTAATCTCCTTTTTAAATCTACAGTTATATCAAGAAATACAAAAGTGAAACTCTACAAAACAATAATAGCCCAGTCCTAACATATGGTTCAGAAACCTGGACTTTAACAAAAAGCAATGAAAACATGTTAGGATGTTTCGCAAGAAAAATACTGAGGCGAATCTATGGAGCGGTAAATGAAAATGGTGTCTGGAGAAGACGATACAACTTCGAACTCTATAGAATATACCAGGAACCAGATATCGTAAAACACATTAAGATAGGACGTCTGAGGTGGGTAGGCCATGTAATGCGGATGGAGTAAACCGACCCAGCTAGAAAAACGCTCCTTGATAGACCTATTGGTCAAAGGACTAGGACCATTGCAGGGTTTAAAGCCAGATAATGATTAATAAAAATTTGAACAATTGTGGAACGAACGGATGGAAATCGAACTTAGTATTTTTCAAGATATATTTCTCCTGTGAAATTACTTAAGTAGATTGATTAGTTCCATAAACTCACTGATAATCACAAGAAAAATTATCAAAACTAACCAGCATTACAGTGAGGATTTAATGCGTACAAAACAACTTGAAAGCATTTATTCGGCTATACAATCGTAGTTAGTTAGAAGAAAGTAACTTATAAAAATTGAACTTAAAACATAAACATAACAGTTCAAAGTTAACACAGTACTATATATAAAGCATAGAAACACTGCATTACTTACCCATAGACACATGCCTTGATGTTCCAAATATAAAATAGACTAGAACTGGAAATATTGCCATGTATATACCTATTATAGGTGGTACATTACCTAACATTGCATATGCCATACCCTAAAAATAAAGAAATAATTAAATAATTGTTCCACTTAATATATGTAAAAAACGTAGCTACATATTATATATTTATTCTACAGCTCCATCTTTTATCTCCATCCATTATCTTTCTTTTTAGATTTAATTTCGAAAGTCCCGATATAAAAATGAATATACATATACATAGTTGGCTAATCAAGAGTCCACACTGTTATTTGGCAATATTCATTGGATTTTGTTAAGACCGATTTTCATTCCAAAGGGCACATCTTTTAATGATAGAGATTTCTGCCATAAATAGGGAATATACCATGTGTGGCAAATTATTAGACAGGAATTTCGCTAAAAAATTCAGGCATCCATGATTTTTTTTATTAACTCCATTGTTGTGAAAAAATATCCACCAACGTCCATACAATTATAAAATCGCTGATCAAAATTACGACGAATATTTTGAAGCAGTTTAGGGGTTACTAGACTAGTAAGTCTTGGGTCTTCTAATGAAGCAGGAATTGTATATAAATCTTGCTTTTAAATAAACCCCTAGGAAGAAATTCAGGGGAGTTGAATAGGGGGAATTTGCAGAACATTCAATAAAACCTCTTCATCTAATGTATTGACTACGAAACCGTCCATTAAGATATCCGGTTATGCTTTAATGCGGAAGAAAAACAAATATTCTAAGTACATATAATCATTTTTGATTATCTGTCAAAATAGCATCAACTGTGTCCGCTAATATTTCTAGATAAGCTTCTTCGTTCAAATTTTGTTGCAAACAATGGCCCAACAATATAATTTCCACAAATTCCTGCCCATACGTTTAATTTCAATTAATGGGTAAGTATGTGCTTCGTGGAAAATTCTAGGATTTTCATCAGCCTTAATAACGCCAATTGTATTTACATTTACAGTAGGTACCATTTAGAAAAAAAGAACAGTCATGCCAGTGGCGGACTAAGGATAAAACGGGCCCTAAGCAACATTGTAATTCCGGTTGACAACAGGGATACAGGAGAAATAATATTTTCTTTTTTTTATAAAAGTCTTAAATTGTAATTTTTCAGTTTTGCTAAGTTTAAATCTTGTTCATAACATATTATTTCCTCTATTGAAGAGTTCACATGGTCCTAAAAAAATGTTTTTAATTTATTGTTAACAGTTTTATATCCCTTAGATATTCTTTTAATATTGCTAATTAAAGAATCGCATACAACAACAAAAATATTAACCCTCCGTTAGTCGCTATCGGTCTCACACACCGACCACAGAATTATTCATTCGGGATTTATAAATAACTATTATTTTTCTATCGCCACTTTTTGTACCTCTCCCAATCAACCAAACTCGTGTTAGTATTCATTCTTACATTCCTGGGTACAGTTGTGTGAGTTTTATAGTTATTTTCGGTGCCTGACTCCGTAGCGACTAACGGTGTAGCTATTATTTGTTGCAGAACTTGCAGAACAGGTTAATATTTATCATCTTATTATTGCATTTTATCAGTAAGTTTTTGTCAATTCTTATTTATAGATGTCCTTTGAAGCCGAACAACTTTGATTCCAACGCTTGTTGAAATTATGGACAAAGGTACCTACCGACGATGAAAATTATTTCGACGATGAGGGAAGTGAAAGCGAAATCGATCAAATTGAGGAACGTGTTGTGGAAGTGAATCTGAACAAGATGTGACAGATGAGAAAGAAGAAAGTGGAAGTAATACCTTAGCGTTTATTGGAAAATATAGAGTTACTAGATGAAAAAAGGCTATTCCACCGTGAAATACTAGAACAAGACAAGAAAATTACATAGTACGTAATACAAACTAATGTTTGTATTTTGAGAACGATATCCGAAGTGAAAATTAAAACATCAATAAACTTACTTTAACCTTTAATTGTGGCTTATTCCCATTTAAACAGTAATTACTTTAAAATGCCACAAGAAAATTGCTTCAGAACAATATTCACAATATATTGTTATACTAGTGTTTTTCATTTTGTATCTGTTTTTTTTTTCAATAAAATATTTTCAAAAATATTTTTTAGTTATTCCTATACACAATATAAAATATTTGTATGAATTTTATATTAAAAACTATTTTTTTTAATTGTCGGTCTCAGACACCGTAGCGACTCTTGATGCTCAGTTTTTTCTAGCGACTAACGGAGGGTTAACTTTATAATGTTCTTTTATTTTATTTAGGGATTTATATTGTTCTGGAAGAGTCTTGTTTGAAGCATTTATTCTCTTTAAAATAGTTAAATAACAGTAGATATTCAAATATATCAATTTTTTATGTAAATCGGTAGCTTCAGACCTTGTTAATGGGTTTTCATCTTTGTTTGAGGAAAAATGACGTGGACAATGTTTAACTTCTTCATAATTTACCTCTAAGGATTTCACAGCATCGGAACAATCAAGCCCATCTAGTGCCACAAATAAGTTTAATACTCAAGTGTTTGCTTTTATAAAAAATTTTTTAATGGAATCCACCTTTGTGTAGAACTTGAAAAAAATACGTACAATTTCTGAACGATATTGAAAATGTGGTCATTCCCATGCAAATTTCAGCAGCAGCGTTTCCAATTAAATTTAATGAATGATTAAATTTGACGCGTGGTATAAAATGGACAGAACAATATGTTATTTTATTCTGGATCACAACTGTCCCCGACAGTTATAGTGATGTCTAAATCTAAATTATTTAAAAATTCTAAATAACTTTTTCCAAATGTTTAACAGTATTAGAAAATATAGGTAGAAATCCCAAAAATCTTTCTTTTATACCACTTGGAAGAACATAGCGAATAATGACGATTAGCTGATCTATGTGACGTGTTGAATCAATAATTAGATAGTAAAATTTGGCTTCTGTATTTCTTTCACTATTGTGAGTTGTAGATCTTTCGATATAATAGAAATAAATTCATCGCATATTTTAGACAACAAATAGTTGGGTACTGGTGTCATAGTTTGCATATTTTTTCATGTGTAAAATGGATAAAATTTCTATCCGCAAAAATGGATATATCTAGGATAAAGATTCCAAAGCCCCTATATAATTACTATTATTTCCAATAAAAACACTTCATTTTTACCACGAAACGCTAAAGAGTATGAAGAAATAAAATTTGATTTTAGCTAATGCACACGTTTAAGTACTTGTCTCCAATATATTTTTTTTCATTTATAATATGTTTTACCAGTTCAGTCTCCACGCGTTCTGTAATTTTAGGTCTTGTTATAAACATTAATTAATTAATATGTACATTTTTCAATCATTTGTGCTTTTTGTCATTAGCATTGTTTGCTTGGAAAATAACAAGCGTAACAGTACAATAAGATGTTGGGTTTGGTATAAGCCGAACAATCTCTTTTTTCGCCGCTATTAATTGTTCTGAAGATAAAGGCAATAGCTAAGTTTCTTGTAATTTGTTTTGACTCTTCATTTCATCAAATAGAAGATGATTCCAATGATCCATTTATGTATTAACTATAAATCCAAAATAATTTGTTTGCAATCAAGTCTAGGTTGATTTAATTATTTCGATACGTTCAGCAATAATTATGAGTTTTTCTGTTAAATAAAAATATAAAATTAATCATAAAACTAAAAATTCAATTTTGGGCCCCAAATATTACAGGCTCTAGGCCTTAGTCCGCCTTTGATTCATGCGAAAAAGAAATATTCAATAGAAAGTTTGAAACTATTTATTTTCTCAGTAATAATCTCACAAAACTGTAATCGCCTGCCTGGATCATCTTCATTTATTTCCCCGTACCAAGTGTATTTGTAAAGATGAAATTTTTAAGTTTCAGTACTCTGTGGACAGTAGTAAACGAAAAACCAGATTCTTGAGCTATTTTTTAGTACTTTGAAGAAGGTTCCAAATAAACATGGCGCAAAAATTCTTCCTTTTCACGTTTTTCACACTCCGTATTTTATCAGCAACTGATTGTTTTCATGAAATCTTTTAACTAATTTTAAGTTGATTAATAAATAATTTCGCTGTTTTTTCTTGCATAAATTATATTTTCAAGATATATGGAAATAATTTGAAAGCGTTCTGCGATATAATGAAATATTTTGAACGAATTTAAAACCAATAACAGTTCAAATAACCAAACTTTTGCATATTTCTTTTAATGTAGTTGTTGACGTGATGTAGCAATTTGTCATTAACACTAGCAAAACATAGGCATTACGTTTAGGTTTTAAGAGGTGTAACACTACATTGATCTTTTTTCACGGAATCGAGTTAATATGAAAGAAAAGTCATTGACAGGTATCTCCAGCGAGATGCCTATCTAATGATGTGCCATACATTGTCTACTACTTATTTAAAATTAAGGGTTTGTGGTACTGGAAGAGAGGAAGGTTGGCAAATGACAGATGCCTATATTCAAATCCAAAATCTTCTCGGCAAGTGTAGGTATTTCGCTTAAAAACGAATCATGATCGATTCCCGTCGTATTTATTTAAGCTTGGAATATTACCGGCACCATCCTGCAGTTGTGATATAAGTTGTTACGGGGATCTTAACCATATTTTCTTTGGATGCAACAAATATTTAGAAAAATCTAGTAAATTAATTGAAACTATTATTGAAATGAAATACTTGCTTCCGTTAAGTCTATCACACATTTTGGCAACTGCTAATAGAGAAACTTTAGAATTGCTAATAAATTTTATTAAAGATGTAAAAGTAGAAATATAAATTAGTATAACTTAATAGTTTCTACTAAGTTTGCAATAATAATTATTATTTAATAAAAAATATGAAAATCAGTTCTAAATTAACATAAAAACTATGCAGCTATGGGGGAAAATTCAACATGCCCTGTGTCAGTTGGAAAAGAAACCCTCAAACCACTTAAAGAAAAAACAAAACCTTGGATGACAGTGGAAATTCTTGAACTCATGGAAAACGAAGAAAACATAAAGCAAAAGACCTGGATAAATACAAAGAAATTCAGAGAAACATCAGAAAGAAAATTCGAAAGGCAAAAGAGAGGTGGCTATCCGATAGATGCAAGTAAATAGAAGATCTGGATAAAAAGTACGATAGCTTTATTTACACAAAAAAATCAAAGAAATGACAGGTTCTAGAAAGCATACAAAAACGAATATCCTTAAAAATGATAAAGGGGATATTATTACTGATATGAAGGTGAGATTATGTCACTGGACCAATTACATTCAACAACTATTTAATGATGAAAGGGAAGAACTGTCATTAGAAATCACGAGGATACTGGACCACCAATATTAAGAGAAGAAGTCATCTATGCCATCAAAAACACAAAAGAGGGTATAAGCTACTGGACCAGATGAGGTGCCCATCGAATTATTAAAACTCATCGATGAAGATGTTATTGATGTAATGGTTGAACTCTTTAATCTAATATATCAGACTGCCACAATTCCCAGACAATGGCTGCAATCAACCTTTGTAGCAATTCCAAAAAACCAAGTTCAACAACTTGATCAGACCACAGAACAATAGCTTTAATGAGTCACACACTTAAATACATTTTTGAAAATAATTCACAGCAAAATTGTTAAAGCTCTTGAATATGAGATTAGTGACACACAATTTGACTTTAGAAATGGTATGAGTACAAGAGATGCTTTGTTCGGCTTGAATGTGCTGGCTCAGAGATGCATGGACATGAATCAGGGTATGTACTTATGTTTTGTCGACTTTGAAAAGGCATTTGATAAAGTTCAACATAAAAAGCTTGTAGATATATTAAAAAGCAAAAATATTGACAGTCGTGATCTGAAAATTATATCTAATTTATATTGGAATCAAACTGCCAAGGTAAGAGTTGACAGCCAGTACACCGAAAATATCAAAATACAGAGAAGAGTCCGCCAGGGTTGCGTGCTGTCTACTACTTTTCAATGTATACAGTGAAGCGGTATTTCAAGAAGCGCTCTCAGACTCAATAGAAGGTATATCTATCAATGGAGAAGTCTTGAATAACTTACGTTTTGCAGACGATACAGTAATAATTACGGATAACAACAATGATTATACAGAACCTAATGCAACGCCTTAATGAACGCTGTCATGAGTACGGACTGAAGATAAATTTAAAGAAAACTAAATGCATGATCATGACTAAATCTGCACATGCAAATATCCAATTGACTATTGAAGATACTGCAATTGAGAATGTTAATAACTATAAATACTTAGGAACATGGATAACATCAGATGTAGACCAAACCAAAGAAATTAAGACACGTATTGAAATAGCACGTACATCATTTATTAAACTTAAAAAGTTTCTTTGTTGTCGGGATATAAGGTTAGAACTACGCCTGAGAATGCTTCGATGTTACGTGTTCTCTACTCTTCTTTATGGTCTGGAAGCTTGGACACTAAAACAAGTTCATTGAATAAGTTGGCCGCCTTTGCGGCCAAAACGAAAAGACGAAAAACTTGAGTACTTGGGACATGTGATGAGAGGACAAAAATACGCATTATTACAACTTATTATGCAGGGTTAAAATCCGAGGAAAGCGAAATGTGGGAAGACGAAGAATATCCTGGCTTAAGAACTTAAGGGAATGGTTTGAATGCAGTAGTGCAGAACTTTTTAGAGCGGCAGTCAATAGAGTCCGTAAGTTTATTACATGATGATTTCCAACCTTCGATAGAAGATGGAACTTAAAGAAGAAGCTATGGGGATTTATGTGAAATAAGTTTGATAAATAAAAGAATTTGTTATACGGTTTGATTTCTGTTTACTTGTAGCATCAAAGTTTTCTAAAAGTTTTGGCTTTCGATTTCTAACTCGAAACCTTACTAGAAAGTGTTTTTCTGGCTATGTAATGCGTAACAATGTTTTTATGATCAGTAAAATATAACCTACCTGAGGAATATGCATCACAGCAACAGTAATACCACTAACTATGTCTCCGGAGAAACTTTTTTTCCAACTATATTCAGGTAACCATGATAATAAAGGTATTGTCTCTTTAAGGAAAGCGCCGGGATCTAATGACTGACAAGCTCGTTTGCATCTGGCTTTTACTAAAAATAAAAATTTTATGTTAGACAAAAAAAAATAAAAACAAATATAAATAGTATGTTTAGAAATAGTCATCGGTTTTATATTCCCAAGTTAGTTTCATATTAATTATATTCAGACACACGGCCTGTCATAAATATTGATACAAGGTATTTATTTAAAAAGACTAAACTAATCGTTGGAATGGAAACATTTCAATTTTTTGGTATATATTTTTTTATTTGTTTTAAAATACTATCTGTTACCATACAATCCAGGTACACTAAGCATTTTTGTTGAACAAACATAATATGCAGCAAGAGTTTTAGTCCAATGACTATTAACTCCTAGTAAGTTTATTACTTGGAACTAAAACTAAGTCTAGACAACTATTTTCTAAATGGTAAGTCAAGAATTCGAGTATTTAATCTAAGTAATTGTATGGAGTTGTCCAATAAATTTACTGCGAACTCGTTGGGGTGTTTTCCAGTCATTTGAAATATTTATCACTGCTTTGGCCTCCACAGTCAATTCCAATGTCCAGATGGGCCGGATGATTTCTTTATACACTAATATTTTGTTAGATAATGATAAGGCGAATTTAGGACCGAGTAATCATGTGTTTTTTGAATTTCATTCCTAATTGCTTCCTCTTCATCCAGATGTGTGTCCTAGATGTTAGCCTCTTGTCAAGGTGTAATCCAAGATATTCTACAGTATCATTTTTGGAATATTCTTGTTATGCATTTGGATATTTGGTGTTTCTTTGTGACATTTATAAATACCACGTTAAGTCGTTTTGCTTCGCTGATCTTTATCTTTCATTTCTAAGCTCATATTTCAATTCAATGTTATGGTTTGTTGTAATATTTCTATTGCTTGTAGGGAATGTGGGTTTTGACCAGAATTGCAGTGTCATCTGCGAATGTTGCGATTGTGGATTCCTCTCCAGTTGGGAAATCAGCTGTAAAGATTGTGTAGAGAATTGGTCGCAAGGCACTACTTGGCGGACCCCTGCATTTATGTTGTAAATGTTAGAAAACACTTTCTTCGTATCTTGCATAAAATAGTCTTTCTTCGAGTTTTGATTTTAGTATCGTGTATAGCGGCTGAGATGTTGCTTTCTTCAGTTTAAATAGTAATTCTGGCTGTAACACCTTGTGAAATGCTTGAATAACATCCAGGAAAATGTCATTGCAAAAGCTCTTTTGCTGGAAGGCTGATTGTATCTTTTCTAGCATCATGTGCACTTGTTCAGCTGTGCCGCGTTTTTGACGAAAACCAAACTAATGATTAGATATAATATTTTTGATCTGTATTTTAATAATCAGTCTACTTACAGTGATTTTCTCTGCGACTTTGGACATAACTGGTAATAGACTGATGGGTTGATATGCATAAGTTATAAAAACGTAAAGCAGAGTTTATCTGGAAATTTTTTTCCAGCTTTGATCACAAATGTGAGCACCTTTGAAAATTTATTGTAACAAAAATATTGTGAATTTTTAATTTTAACTTCAGCTCCAGCCATTTAATGCCTCTGAAACTTTCGAATCTTATCACAACTTCTCTCAACTGTAACACCAACGTACTACATAATCGATTGTAATTAAATACGCGACCTTCTTTAAACTTTTTTTATTAATAACTGCATATGCTTATCACAAATAAAAGTAAAACTGTTATTGTAAGGAATTCTTCGGTGGGGAGGTTATGACCTATCTCTATAGAGATTACTCGTCAATAATAAGCACGATTAGCAATCTTACACACAAAATATTGTAAAAAAATTGTCTTCTTCTTCTTAGTGCCGTGCACCTACAGTGCGTTGGCGAACTATCTTAAGGCTAGAAGTCTGTATTTTGCAGCATGCAAAAGATCGCCAGTGTTATTTATGCCTGTCCAGTTTTTTATGTTCCGTAGCCACGACATTTGTTTGCGACCTACTCCTCTCTTGCCTTAAATCTTTCCCTGGATGATTAGTTGAAGGGTTTGCGTATTTTTTGCCTCTCAGAATATGGCCGAGGTATTAAAATTTTCGTACCTTGATCAACGGTATAAAAAAATTTTATAAAAGATAAAAATGTGTAAAAGAAACGTTACACTAAAATTAAGGCGACTTTTGATCTAAACATAAAATTAAAAAAAAAAACAAATAATGATATTGGAGACAAACCTAAAGTATACAAAAGATGTTAATTATACAGAAACTCACACAGGTTCAACATAATTACTTTACACTTGAAAATGCATAGTACTAAAAGTATATTGGCAAACTCTTCGATCCGACGACACTTGGGACATCGGCAACTAGCGACCCTTTAAGTCACTACGGTGCGGCCCGCGCAAGTAAGAGCCGTTCCCCACGAGGCCGCATTAATCAAAGACACTTAAACACACTAGAAAAAGGTTTTATTTCATTGTTTTGTGTCTGTGGAAGCCAGAGATTTAGTTCAAGCGATCAATCACCGTATAGCAGAACTGTCAGACTGTGACGCGATATTGTCGCTCTATGTTGATAATGTGCGTTGCGAGTGTGATATATTCAAAGATCACGCGCGATGTTGCACCGATACTCATATCCAGCGCACGCGCGTTGTACCTCCTATCCCAGTCACCACCACTCCTTCGCTTTCTCATTATTGCTCTGTTCTGGACGAAACATTATAGGAATTTTTCCGAGGGATATTTTTAGTATAGATTCCTGCTTCTTTTGAATGGCTATTTTTATTTTTGAACTTGCTGCTCTAAACAAATCAATCGATCTGCATTGATAACAATCACGTAGATTCTTCAACCATGAGTTCTTCCTTCGGCCAACAGATCTTCATCCTTGAATCTTTCCCTGTATTATCTCAAAATGTGAGTCTCAAAATTTCATATTTTGGTCCCCTTATCACGTGGTCTTGGTATTCCAGTTTTCTGGTTTGTATAGTTTTGATTAGTTCTGTTTCTTTACCAAGCCTCTCTAGTACTTCTTTATTTGTAATTATATCAGTGCATACCCACCAATATACATTTTGCTATGTGCTTGACCGGGTATACTTTCCTAGTGAGATTTGTGTTTCCAAACGGGGATGGTCTTTTTGGCACTTATACAACCGACTCTCGACTGAAGTATTTTGTAGCTAATCCTTCTTTTTTATATAGACATGACTCTGTCTCCTTTTACTTATCTTATTACTGTTTTGTAAATTCTGCCTTTCATTTCTTTTCCGATATTTTATTTCTCCATGTTGTTTCATTCAGGCAACCTGCGGCTCTGTATGATCTATGCACTTGATCTTCCACTTCTATTTCGATCTTCCCGTAGCTAGATAATATGATGACTAGATATTTAAACTCCATCACTTGTTCTATTATCTGACCTTCCAGCTCCAATTTACATCTTAGTAAATTTGCTGTTATAACCATGCATTTTGTCTTTTTGTGGAAATTACCATTTTAAATTTTCTGGTGATTATATTAAATTTGTGTAGCATACGTTATAAATCATCTTCTCTATGATGTGTCGTCTGCATAGCATATTATTTTAAGTTGATTTTTTTGCCATTTGGTATCGTTTTTGAGTTCTTACTTTTTTATTATTTCGTCCATAATTAGATTGAACAATAGAAGACTCAGTAAATCTCCCTGTCTTAACACTTAGTTAATCCTCTTAATTTACCAACTCTTTCACTGACGTATATTCCCTGGTGACATGGAATCAACACCAGTGTGAAAAACACTTGAGTTCTTCTCGGCATAAGAGACACTAACCTAAAGTGCATCTTAGAGCTTCATAAACGCTTGACTATCTATGCATATATTGATCCGCTTCAGTTCGAAAGCACTCGCTTTAATTTATCTGTCATACTGCAAGATAAATAAACATAAATCTCTGCATGCCCCTGATGTGTCGGACTTTTAATTAATATATCTCTAATATGCTCATCGATCAGCTTGTCTAGAGTCTTCAGTACAACTGATCTCTTTCATTTATCGGTCTCAGGGAATAACTTGTTTCTACCTGATCTTGCCAGATTTGGGTATAAAAGGTACCCTTAAGAACCTTTAGGTTTTTGATATGTACCGCACTCCTAAGCTAGCAATATTAAGACAACTTTGTTGATATTTGAGGCATACAAAATGAATGAGGCCGCGTTGCTCAGAATCGGAAAAAATTGTGGGCATGGTTCTTTGGAACATTCTTACTAGCTCAGAAACAGACGACAAATTGAAAAAAAAAAATTAAGGTTACAATAGCCACTAGAGCTAAACCAAAAATATGGAGTAACCAAAAAAATCACAAATAATTTTCCAAATGGACAGAAAATGAAATATAAAAAAATTGCCAAAAAGGCGCCACTTTGTCTTTCTTTATGAAAAACAAAGAAACATCAAAATTAAAATAGCTATAAAACCAATACAATAAAAATAAACAATATACATAATAGAAAAATTGAAGGTATTTAACACACCTTGTAGATTCGCTTAGCAAACATGTTAGCAAATATTTATTAGTGGTCAAAGAGAAAAGTAGATTGTTAGAGAAATTTAAAACAATATACATTTATTAAGTGCAAGCCATATTTTTTAGCAATCAAAACATCGGTTTATTTGGATGGATATAATAACTTAAAATGTCCATCACAAATTAATACCTTATTACTTAAATCTTCATAAAAGTTTAATATGAATTTCTCTTGATGACCTGATAAACATTTTCTAACTCGATCTTAACATTGACTGAATTAAAAAAAATAAATTAAAAATTACAGAGCATTATTATACATGATATATACAGTCGTTAGTTCTAATTACATACAAATTTAGTAATACATACAAAATTAAGATTTATATCATGATATATACAGTTCGTTTAGTTCTTAATCTACATACAAAATTTAGTATTGTATACAAAAAAGAGACAATGATCAAAAATTATAAAAAGATTGCACGACACTGGGTACATAAAATGTACCATCTTTGAAATAATTTTACACCATCTTTGAAATATTCAGCATAGTTATTTAATCTACGGTATACAATACAGAGAAAGGTAGGTTAAAAATACTTCTAATTCTTTGTTTTACTTAACTTGTTTCCACTGTATACATGCTGGTTCTTTAAATACAATAAAGACTTTCCCAATAATAACCGAACCATGTTTTTCAGCAATCACAAATTAAATAATAAAAAAGACGTACGTATTCATTGCCATACTTCGGCAAGCAAACGAAATTTTTACTTAACTGTTAATGCACTAAACTGGAAATTGTTGGTTATAAGGGCTCAAACCCCCTAGAACGGGTGAAAGAATACCAGTATTACCGTCTTATTTGAAATCTTGGTCGGTACTCAATCACAATTGTCACACATCAACACAGTTTCAGCAGTTAAAATCCCCACTGTCCCCAATCTCATGATCTTCATTATAAACAAATACTTAGTTTATGTTCGCGTTCGAAATTTTAAAACGCAGTTCTTAAAACGTTAAATAGGATTACCGATTAACGATTACTCAAGACAATTTGGAATGAATAAAAAAAAATGATTTATCCTATTCCAACAGAACTAAAGTGCTCTAATTAAAAAGTTCCCTTCATCATTGTGAGTGTATTCACCTGGTTCTTTTTGCAGTGGGGGTATACTCATCTGAGAGTCCTTGTAGATAACTTTATCTCCTATCATTTATGTAGCTTTGACATCTCCGGAAGACATGAAGATTTGACCAAATTCGTTTTTTGTTTTCTTCTTCTTTGGTGCCGTCTTCAATGAAGGTTGGCGATAACCTCAGCAAAATCATTTCTGTCCCTGGCTTTTCTTATTAAAGATTGAGAATCCAAACCAGTCCACTCACGAATGTTCTTCAACCAGACGCCTGCCGTCTACCAGGACCACGTTTTCCTTCTACCTTCCCCTCTATAAGAAGCTGCAGTAGCTGGTATTTCTCATTTCTGTATATGTGTCCCAAATATGAGGTTTTCCGTGTTTTCATTATTTTTAAGAGTTCTCTGTCGGTACCCATCTTGTGTAGGACCTGCTCGTTGCCCATATGCGCTGTCCAGGGGACTTTCAGCATCCTTCGAATATAACCACATTTCAAAACTTTCCAAACGCCTTAGTGAGTTGATTTTGAAGGTCCAGGCCTCCATTCCATATAGTAAGGTGCTGTAAACGTAACATTTCAGCATTCGGCAAACGTAACATTCAGTATCGGATTTTGAGATTGAGTGTTTGGGACGTAAACATTTGTTTCATTTTTAAAAAGACATTTCTTGCTTGTTCAATTCGCGATTTTATTTCTATGTCTGGATCTATATCTTTCGTTATCCAGCACCCTAGATATCGAAATTTCTCGACATTTTCGATAATGTTACCATTCACGTTTAAAGCCATGGGTGGATGGACGGATGTTTTGGAGACATCATTGTTTTTGTTTTCTTGACGTTAATGCTGAGGCCGTATTGTTCTCCGATCGATCTGACGCGATCTAAGAGTGTCTGGAGATCCTGTGCGCTCTCTGCAATTAGGACCGTGTCGTCGGCTTTGTTTTTGTTTTCAGGCGGCGTTAAAATATTTTCTTGTTATAAGGTAAACGTAATCAAATCATGTTTGCTTTAAGAGTTTTATAACCTTATATGTTGGCATTGTAAAGAAATACAATAATTTTTCCCCTCAAGCACTTTTCTTCTATTTGTTAAATAATTACAATAAAACCGATGATCACCCGTCACCAGTTTACCCTAACAGTTTGAACTATGTTTTCTAAAACATTAAATAATAATCCTTGTATCGGCAATTAAGTAGTATTCATTAGTTACTTATTTATTTAATTTCAATTTTACTAGATTGTTTTTTCACTTAATTTTTTTCACAAGTTGTACATTGTGTATTTAATCAATTTTTAAAGTCATATTTAATAATCACACACGTTTTTATAATTTCAGCATTTCAGCAGTAAACCAATTAGGACCATATACCGTTGACCTGAAGGTGTATAGCAAATTATAGTATGCAAAACCGGTCGTTGGTGGTAGAATAAATTGATTGTAAGTCTTATTCTTATTTTTTTTTTACCTATCTAATACAATGACTTTGTCGCGGGTTTTTACGTTAATCAGAAAGTATTTGCAGAATGAGATGAAAATTACCTGCGTTCTCATACCTTGGTTATATTAGAATCATATCAATAAATTTACTACGTATGGAATTAAAAAAATGGTAACTATTATTGACTTACTTGTGTGATATGGTTTTTCATATTCGTAGTCTCTGTTTAATTCTTCTATTTGATATACGGGCCTTTCTACTAGTAGTGCTGAGTGCTTATCACCCTCATTTTTCATAATACTAAAACAAAAAAGATACCATAAAATCATAGAAAAGTCTTAAAAGAGTTTAATAAAACATACATCATCTTAAGAAATGTGATGTAATATCTAAGAAATGCGTTTAATGCATTTTACTACTGTGCACAAGTAACCCCATTGTTAGAACTTTAGCACGCAGATACGAAATAATCAATGTTAATTAAATGTACAATAAACAATGAAACCCGATGAATACTTAAAACAGTTTAAGTGAATTTTGTTACAGGGGTGTAGTAACATGTTCCTTATAAAGGATGTTCGACAAGTCTAGTCTTAAATTAATATATCCAGAGTTCGAGCAAAGATACAGAAAAATGATCCGATGTAAAATAACTAAAATAATTTCGAAAACATTTTTAATAATAGAAAGAAAAAAACGTTACTTTTTAGGTAAAATGTTTATTCAAAAACAATTGTTTTATTATGTATTTTTCAATATTTTCATTATATAAGAAACGGTATAATGAATAAACTCCATTCACAAAACTCAGCCAAACTGTCAATTTGATAATTCCACAATGAAAACGAAATTCCTGCAGTTGACTGTATACCATAAATCATAGAATTTGTATTTTAAAATTCTTTATAAAAGGTATATATGTATATATTCGAAAGGGAAATAGAAAGGGCTATGGAATTTGTAGGTCGATTACCATAAACAAATTATACTCTGCATGTTTTTATAAGTTCCCATATTAATCAATATGGCATTTTTATTAATATTTATTAAAATCATTACCCTTATGATTTTTTATTTATTTTTTACAATAAAAAAAATTCACTAAACCCTGGCTATGCATTCAGTTATGTCAACATTATGTTCATTTTTTCATAATTACTGTCTACTTAAACTCATAATATTGTCAGTTACTGTCAAGTACATAATACAACAATACTACAAAATATATTTGTATTTTGTAGTATTGTACAGCTTTTTGCCGTTTGTGGATTGTACAATGGGACGAGGTAAAGTTATCGATGAGAAAATTTGTTTAATTATTATTAGATTTTGTTAATTCTAAATCCAATCGTGAATATGTTGCAATTCTCACACTATGGTGTAAGAAATATAGTCAGAAGATACAAAAAATGTACGAAAACCTAGAAATGTACGAAAAAGTAAAATAATCAAAGCAGATCGAAGGGCATTAAGACGCATTAAAGTGAAAAATCGACGAGCAAATTATATGGAGTTAAGCGTTTTATGGAATGATGTTATTGGAAGACACGTTTCTAAATTAACATGTCACCGAGAGGCCCACAAATTAGGATTTAGTAGTTACAAAGGAAGTTTTATAGTTGAAAAAATTAGTACGAATTGTTTTTAAGAATTTTTATTTTATTTTAGGCTAAGAAAAAGCCACATTACAACATTACAACAAAACAAAAATAGAATAAGATGATCAAACGAGCATAAAGATTGGACTCAGTCGCAATGTGATTCAATACAATGGAGTGATGAGTCCAGATTTGAAGGGTGTGTTGAAGCCAATAGAAGTCGCTTCATCAGAAGACGACAGCATGTCGTCTAAAGGAGTGGGGGTCACATTTTATCGATGGGATTGTAAACACGGACAAATATTTGAAAATTTTAGAAGAACCTCTTTTACCGATTAAGGAAAACTTTTAACACCAGCGGAAGCTTTTGTCTTCCAACAGGACGGCGCAGGTTGCCATATGCGAAAAAAAAATGTGGTGCGAAATGAAAAAATGTTTAAGAAAACATCCTGCTAGCTCCGTCGACGAATTAAAGGAAAAATTGCAAGAAATATGGGATTCGTTTATATTAGAATTTTGTCAGAACTTGGTAAAAACTATGCCTCGAAGAATTGTGGATGTCATTAAAAATAAACGGGATGTAGCTCAGTGGTTAACTTTTTTTTGTTAATATTACATATTCTATGCGTTTTTTAAATTTATTATTATTCTGTTTAATCAATAGTTTTCATTACGTTACAAAATATTTTCTATAATTAGTAAATTTAAAAATGTTGTTCGATGCATTAAAACTTCTAAGAACTGCACAACAAAATAATAGCTGCAGTTTTATTTTTGTTCTCTAAAATTTAATTTTCTTATCAATCTAACGTTTTGCCAACTGATATGAAAAGGAGATCGTATATATAAAAGTTTTTAAATTTATAGTTATTTTGAGCTACTTTGGTCAAATTTTGACTTCGACTGGAAATGGCTGGAAGTCACTATAGTCCAGTAAATTTATTGGAGAAGGTCTTACAAACGAAATCTGATACCATTAACTATTGAAAAACTTCACAATTCCAGCGGTGTCTTTATTTCATAATTTTTTTAGATTGAATTATTTTATTAACAATTAATTTCATTGTAATGTGTATGTAGGTACCTTTTTTATTCCGTGAATTTCTTACTTCCTCAGGTTTAAAAATTTTGTTTATATGGGATTAAACCACAAATAATTGTAATGAAAATTACAATTTACATTAGTTTTGACGTTTCGACCATCAATACGAAAATCGTGTACAAAAGATTTTATAAATTAAGAAAGTATGTTAAAGTATTGTATTAACTGGCAGGAAGATCCAATTGGGAAACATTTACAGGTTAACACAATTTTTTAATTTATGTATTTTTTTACCGATTTCCAGTTTAGAAAAGGCAAAGTAAAAAAAAATATAAAATGTAATTCTCATTACAATGCATTACGGTTTAGTTTCATAGAAATGCGATACTTAACTTAAATTTGCTACACGAAGACAGTTTCCCTCTTTCTTTAGGTTTGGCGTCAGTGGCTACAGTTTAACGTATTGTGTGCGAAAGAACACGGACCTGATGTTTTAAAACCACTAAATACAAAAAAATGGTTTCCGCAGAACTTAACATTCATTAGTCTTTAAAAGAGGGAATCTAACTCTGAAATATCTGAAGTATTTTATTCTATTTTATTTATTTCTTCTTCTTATGGTGCCCTATCCAATTAGTGGATGTTGGCGACAATTCTAGCATACTTCTCTCGATCTTGTGTGGCTCTAAAGAGTGCACGGGCATCAAGGTTTGTCCAATCCCTTATGTTTTTAAGCCATGAGTATTCATTTCTTTCGATGCCCCGTTTTTCTTTCTATCTTCCCTTCCATAATTAGCTTTAAGAACTGGTACTTGGAATTTCGAAATATATGACCCAGATAAGCAGTTTTTCTTCTTTTTATTATTGACAGCAATTCTCGTTCTCTGTCCATTCCATTTAATACTTCGACATTTGTTATGTAATCTGTCCAGGGAATTTTAAGTAGTCTTCTAAATACCCACATTTTAAACGCCTCCAATCGGTTCATCACATTAGCCTTTATGGTCCAGGTTTCTACACCATATAGCAGTATGGAGTAAATTTATCATTTTACAAAGCGATATCGAAGCGTTAAGTTAGGGCTGTTGTTGCTTAGTAAGGTTCTCATATTAGTAAACGCTGTTCTGGCTTGCTCAATACTGATACATATCTCCATGTCTGGATCTATATCTTCAGTTATCCAACTACCGAGATATCTGAACTTGGGGACATTTTGGATGTTCTTATATTGTTAATTCTTATATTTAATTGCATATTTCGTGTTCTACTAACAACCATTACCTTCGTCTTGACTATATTAATCTTCAAGCCCAGTCGTTTTCCTTCAGTATTTATTCTATCTATCAGTCGTTGTAGCGCTTCTTGGCTATCAGCTATTATGACTGTATCATCAGCATAGCGAAGATTACTAATAGTCTGTCCGTTGATTTTGATTCCGTCTTCAGTGTCATTTAAGGCTCTATCGACAATCGTTTCAGAGTAAGGATTAAAAAGGAGAGGTGACAGAACACAACCTTGTCGTACACCTTTTTCGATTGAGAAATATGATGTAGATTCCATTCCTACTCTCACAGATGCCACTTGATTCATATAAAGGTTCTTTATGATTTTAAGGTCATTCTCATCTATCGAACGTTCCTGGAGCAATCAAACTAATTCTGATTGATTACACAATCAAATGCTTTCTAATAATCTATAAAGCATAGGAAGACATATTTTTGTTAATTACTGTGTTTCTGAAGTAAGACAGTTAAGCTATAAAGTGCTTCTCAGCACATTGGCCTTTATGGTCCAGGTTTCTACACCATATAGCAGTATGGAGTAAATGTAACATTTTACAAAAGCGATATCGAAGCGTTAAGTTAAGGCTGCTGTTGTTTAGCAAGGTTCTCATATTAGTAAATGCTGTTCTGGCTTGCTCAATACTGATACGTATCTCTATGTCTGGATCTAAATCGTCAGTTATTCAACTACCGAGATATCTGAACTTGGGGACCTTTTGGATGTTCTTATTGTTAACTCGTATATTTAATTGCATATTTCGTGTTCTACTAACCACCATTACCTTCGTCTTGTCTATATTAATCTTCAAGTCCAGTCGTTCTCCTTCAGTGTTTATTCTATCTATCAGTCGTTGTAGCGCATTTTGGCTATCAGCTATTATGACTGTATCATCAGCATAGCGAAGATTACTAATAGTCTGTCCGTTGATTTTGATTCCGTTTTCAGAGTCATTTAAGGCTCTATCGACAATCGTTTCAGAGTATAAATAGTAAAAAGGAGGGGTGAAGGAACACAACCCTGTCGTACACCTTTTTCGATTGAGAAATATGATGTAGTTTCCAGTCCTACTCTCACAGATGCCACTTGATTCATATAAAGATTCTTTATGGTTTAAGGTCGTTCTCATCTATCGAAAGTTCCTGGAGCAATCTTATTAATTCTGAATAATTAGCACAATCGAATGCTTTCTGGTAATCTATAAAGCATAGGAAGACATATTTTTGCTAATTTCTGCATTTCTGAAGTAAGACAGTTAAGCTATAAAGTGCTTCTCTTGTGCCAAATCCTTGTTTAAAACCGAACTGTGTGGAGCTAATGTCTCTTTTACATCTGTTGTATATTCTTGTGTGAATTATATTTAAGAAGAGTTTTAGGACCTGGCTCAATAAGCTGATCATTCGGAATTGGTCGCAACTATTAGCGTTTGGCTTTTTTGGGATTGGT